CTTATCTCCCTATGGACGTTTCCATAGAAGGTGAGCCACATGGATTTTATATTGGAGCCGTGTAGTGCCGAAAAAATCCGTACGAAGGGGAGGCAACACGACTTTATAATAACGTTTTCAACGTGACTCTCAATACTTACTTTTCTAACATTCTTCTTATTTTTATATTATTGTTGAATTATGTCTATATCATTTAGTCAATTATGCTAATTGATAATAAATTTACACACAAATCACCCAATTTTTTCAACAATCTAAAGTCGTCTTGATGATTTGTGTGTAGACAATTATTGATAGGTAAAGTCATTGTTTATGTTTTACTTGTCAACTTATTATAAAAGACCTACACCCTTAGCTTATTAGAAGATGTGTCCGTTAGAGGAAAATAAACTATTGGTATCATCTGTGCACTACATGTGGTGCATTGACTGGTATAACATCCCTCTGCATCTGTTATCAATCTATTGAATTTCTACAAGGTTGTCCATAAACCAAATTGTTAGCCTGTGGTTCCCTACCCAGTGCCTACTTATTATTTAATTAAATATGGCTTGCTTTAAGGGGTTGTGACTATGAAATTCTCGGGTACAAGTTTCAAAGAAAAAATAATAAATAAATAAATAAATAATAATAATAATAATAATTACATAAACTCCTACAGTATATTTTCATTGTACTGACAGTTACTACTGTTATTATTTCAATCACATTCTTAATTGTCAGTTCTTTAAATGTTGATTGGCCATTGCTTTGATTATTTCCGATGTTGTAGCCCTATTTTACAAGCTGGGTTGTGAGATTAATAGATTAACACCCCAGGAGAGAAATGAAGTCCTTATAAACTCATTTTATCTATAATATTAAATTCTCTTTAAACAATAGCCACTCATATTTAACAGACACAAGAGGTCCCTTAATTAGAGTATTCCATACTTTTTATTGCAATTTCTAACTGAAAATGAGATGATTGTTCAAATATGAATAATAGAATTCTTGTTGAAAGAAATGGGGAGTTTTCTCAAGCATTTAAATTTTGTTGAGTTAGTTCTAATTGAGATACTCTAAGAATCTTCCCGGTTATAGGACAAAATGTGGTACATAAAGAAAAATGATACTTATTAGTTCCTATTTTCTTACACGTCCACCAGAGCCATAACATTTCGCAAAATCATTCAAAACTATATATACATGATAAATCCCTCAGAAAGCAAAATAAAATTACTCAAATTCATATTTAACTTCAAAAATGCTTTGATAAAAATATCATACCAGCACACACATACACTCTCTTTCTATGGGAAGAGAAAATTAAGTATATATCTAATTAGATGTTTACTTGAGTATTTTACTTGGAATAATTATGTTTAATGTGGAATTGATATTTGACAAAATTATTGTTCATTTTCTGGGCTTCTAATTTGAAAAAATATATATACACACACACCAGGACACATACACAATCTCTTTCTATGGGAAGAGAAAATTAAGTATATATCTAATTAGATGTTTACTTGGGTATTTTACTTGGAATAATTATGTTTTATGTGGAATTGATATTTGACAAAATGGTTAAAAGATCTAACTCTCAAATGTGTTTAATTAAACCTTTAAAAAAGATTTAATTGTAACTCATGTGAATAATAGTGATTTTATCATTATTCAATTCAGATACGTAACTCATATTTTGATGATGATGATGATGATGATGATAATAATAATATGATCAATTTGAGTTAAGTTTTGAAAGCTTTACATCTTAATAATTAAAATAACTAATTTGGCATTTAATTATTTATAATTTTATATGAGCCCCCATAATTTTAAGTTATTAAAATGAATGCGGTTGAAACGATGAATTTAGGTTATTTTCTATTTTTGCTAGAATTTTACGTGATATTGTTTAATTGAAAGTATATTTCTTTTGAGGAATATTTGATGTACTGTATTTGAAAATTAGTTTATAGTCTAATTAAAATTTGACACTATGTTTAGCTAATATGGAGTACAAAATTGCAAGCACTTTGTGTCACGCCCCTAACTGAAATACTTCGAAAAGTCGACCACCGCGTTATACGAGGTGTCCAACACTCAACCGAAGTAGTTCCGAAGTGACGCCACCATCAATATTGTCGAAGTGCGTTATCTGCTGAGCCAATCGAAGCGTCCCCGCACTTGAAGCCGAGGTGCAGTACATTCCAAGATTCTCTATCGGAAGACCTGCCGCCAATTTCAGAAAGAGATCTATGTCAAGATCCTTTCTGCCCTTAAGGTTCAATTGATTTGACGTCTTCATGAGCCTAGTTGATGTGACATATCAATTTTATGTCAACTCAACTCAGAAGAAGTAATTGCCTACCCACTCTATAAACGCGACTGATTGACGCCTATGAGTAGACACCTCACACCGTCAGATGCATATGCGTGTCTCACATCCAACGGTTCTCCTCACCTATAAATATCCAAGATTTGACAAGAGGCAAGGGTAATGAAACTCTTACAATATAGCTTTCCATAACAAGAAAATATATATTATCCTCCCCTTTATTTAGCAAAACCTTGGTATTGTTCCGACCATCTGAGGCTAACTTGACCATCAGAGTGTATGCGGCCGCCGCCACCTCCGTTGGTTCTGGCCATGTGTATCTGATTGTGCGTTGACTGTGCCCAGGGATGAACACGTGGAGTAACTATCGATTGGCCACGTTGAGGGTCCAATTTGTGATGTCAACAGATTGGCGCCGTCTGTGGGAAACTTCCCGTCCAAAGTTTTATGTTCTCCACCAGAGAAACCATCGAAAAACGATTGACTTACCCTAAAAATGGCACGTTTTTGAAAAAGAGCAAAATCGAGTTATAACTTAAGTTCTTGTCACCCTTGAAAAAGAAGATAAGATAAGTTACAACCATGAAGACGAGAACCCTATGAGAGAGGCCTCTGAAGAAAAGGTGCTCCGTAACAATGTTACTCACCAGAGACCCCATCACCGGCGTCGCCGAGGTGAAAGAACAGCCATGCTCACTGAAGGAATTACTCAAATAGCTACGGGCATGAGAAACATCACAGTTCAGAATATGGCGATGCATGAACTTCTCATGCAAGCCCGAGATCACCAGGGCTCTCAGATGCCCCAAGGATCATATCCAGTTCAAGAAATCCCAGCATCTCGTTCCCGAGGCCATGGGAGCCAACACAGAGAGCGCCCCCTCGAAAGAGAAGTGAGTGCTGAAGCTACATCCTATATGCAAGGGAGCCAGCCAGCAGAACCACAATTGGGGGACAATTTCGCTCAGGAATATGAAGCATAAGATCAGTCAACGTCTTCGACCGAATAGGGCAGGACCCTAGTAATAGAGTCCACTCAGTGTGAAGATCAGTTCGGTAAGAACATGAGCAAGAACAAGCACCTCCTCCTCCTAGAAATAGGAAGGAGAGAAGGGGCTTAGTTGATTAGGGGAGTCGAGGAGAAGCACCTCCCCTTCCCCAGAACATTCAAGATTATGAAGGGTCAGATGGGCCTTGTCGATCCTATGAAATTGACGGTGATGATGATAACTTCCCTTTCTCAAGTAAAATTCGAAGTTTCCCAATGCCTACGAATTTTATGCCCCCTAAGATCCCCAAGTATGAAGGAAAGAGAGATTCGGAGAAGCACCTCACCAAGTATATGATGCAAATGAACCTCAGAGAAGCCTCGCCTGCTTTGAAGTGCAGAGCTTTCCACTTAACTTTAAGCGGAGCTACTGAAGTATGCTACAGCAGACTTCCCCCCCTCCCTCCCCCGCCCCTGAGCATTAGGAGTTAGCCGAATCTGAAGAAGACATTCTTGAACCAGTACCTCTCAAGCAGAGAATGAGAGGCCCCGATGCAATCTCTGCAAGATATGAGGCAGACCCCTGGAGAGAAGCTGAAAAGCTATCTTGCCAAATTTACAGACGAAATCGCGTATTGCGAGCAGTTCACTGACAGAGAAGCCCTTTCAGCCTTGAAAGGCGGCCTCAACATGAACACTCTGTTCTGGAAAGATGTGCGCAGCAAAAATCCCATCACTTATGACGAGCTGGTAGAAATGATGAGAGTTGAGATTGTCAGTGAAGAGATGATTGATCCCAGAAATCATGCAGCGCAGGGATTCCCTCTGCCTCAGAGGCAGGTAGGTCGAGGACCAACAGCACACATTGTCACTCAACAATGGACTCAAGCAGGTCATATGATAGCTACTACCTCCGGACAGGCACTGGCTTCTGCCACGCTAAATGCAGTTCCGGTGTTGGCATACGAGAATTTCTCTGGCAGAGCAGGGCTATCTGGAAGAATGGATAGTAGTAAGAAGAAGAAGCGGTCAAACAGGCCTTTGGAAGGGGCAATGTTTTGTACTTTCCACCAACTCTATGGGCATGACACCAACGAGTACAGAGACGCTAATCGACACCTGGATCGAAGCGACCCACATCCCTCCCGGAAGAAAAAATATCCTCGCAGACCCGCCTCCCCGAACAGGAGGGAGAGAAGGCATAGAGAGCAGTCACCCCAAAGAAGAGAATCAAGGGACCGAGGATAGTCCAGACAGAGAGATCAGGCCCCATTTTCAGGGAGCCAAGTCATCAGGGAGATCAACACGATCATTGGGGGACCTCACATCGATGGAAACACCAGGAACGGCCAAAGAAATTATACGAGGAAAGCAAAAGACCCGCCAATGCTGACCTACATTGTCAACGAGTCCCAAGCGACCAATAGGATGGCCCCAATCACCTTCTCCCAGGAAGATGCAGAAGGAGTTCACCACCCCCATTGTGACACATTGGTTGTGAGAGCTGTAGTGACAAGAAACAGGCTCAAACGCATGCTCGTCGACAATGGTAATTTGGTGAATATATTATTCGGTTCCACCTTCGACAAAATGTAAATTGAACATGGGTTGATCCCCATGACCAATCCACTGTTCGGATTTACTGGAGACAGCATCATTCCACGAGGCTGGATAACTCTATCCATCGAGATGGGTTCAGCTCCTCTAGTGGTCCAACACTTCATGGAATTCTTGGTAGTCGACCACAGATCGCCCTACCATGGAGTATTGGGAAGACCCGCCTTGAAAGATTTTTGGGCTATCACCTCCATGCATTACTTGTGTATGAAATTTCCGACTGAACATGGGATTACCACGGTACGAGGTGACCAGATGGGCTCCAGGGCATGTTACTTAAACTCTTTGCAAAAATCGGAGCCCCGAACTGTTAATGTGATCATAACTGAAGTTGCCACCGAACCCAATTTGGACATGGAAATGATCGACGCCCCTGAACGAGGGCATACCTCCGAACAGGAGGAAAACGTTGACATGGAAGAAGCCCCAGAGGAAGGGCACCCTCTTGATGAATTAGATCCCCGAATTATTGACTCCAAGCCAAATGCAACCCCAGTAGAAGTACTTGAGACCTTCGTCGCCAACCCAGAGGACCCCAGTCAGGTCCTACAAATAGGAAAGGCGCTGTCCCCCGGAGCAAAAGAAGAAATGATGAGCTTCCTGAAAAGGAACTTGGATGTCTTTGCTTGGAAGCATGAGGACATGGTGGGAATAGACCCAATGATCAGTTGCCATCATCATAAAATCAACCCCTTCTGTACCCCCACATAGGCAGAAAAAACGTGCTCTCAACCTGGAGCGGTACGAGGCACTCAAGGACGAAGTAGATAAACTTAGCCACAGCGGCTTCATTAGAGAAGTCATCTACCCGAAGTGGATATCCAACTCAGTCCTGGTGAAGAAGCCCAACGGAAGGTGGAGGATATGCGTAGACTTCACAAACTTAAATAAGGTATGCACTAAAGACAATTTTCCACTTCCAATGATAGACCAACTTGTGGATTCCACCGTTGGACATGAACTTTTAAGTTTCATGGATGCATACTCAGGGTATAACTAGATACCCATGTTCCGACCCAATGAGGAGGCTACGTCATTCATCATAGACAGGGGACTATACTGCTACAAAGTCATGCCCTTCGGATTGAAAAATGCTAGAGCTACATATCAAAGGTTGGTCAACATGATGTTTTTCGAACTCATTGGAAAAATCATGGAGGTCTACGTGGACGACATGCAAGTCAAAAGCTTTCAGGCTAACGAACACGTAAGTCACCTCGACCAAACCTTTCAGATACTTAGAAAATATAAAATGAAGTCGAACCCCCTCAAGTGCACCTTTGGAGTGGGTTCGAGTCAGTTCTTGGGATACATTGTAAACCAAAGAGAAATCGAAGCGAACCCAGTGAAAATAATGGCCTTGCTTGAAATGAGGTCACCTCAGAAACCAAAGGAGGTCCAAAACCTCAATGGTCGGATAGCAGCACTCAGTCGTTTCATCTCCAAGCCACAGATAAAAGCTTACCCTTCTTCAATGTGCTAAAGAAAGAAAAGAAGTTCCAATGGACTTCTGAATGCGAAGAAACCTTCCAAGCGCTGAAGAAGCACTTAGGAGAGGTACCCCTGTTGTCAAAACCTCAATCGGAAGAGCCACTATTGCTGTACTTGGCGGTTTTGGACGAGGCGATCAGCGCTGTCCTAGTCAGAGAAGAAAATGAGCACTAGTTACCGGTGTACTATATCAGCAAAGCACTCCTCTCAGCTGAAACACGCTACCCAGACATGGAGAAATTGGCACTCGTTTTCATCACAGCCTCAAGGAAATTGAGGTCGTACTTCTAGGCCCACTCAATTGAAGTCCTCACCAACTTCCCATTAAAGCAAGTTCTACAGAGAACGAACGCATCAGGACGCCTGCTAAAATGGGCAATCGAGCTTAGTGAGTTCGACATACTATTCCGACCTCGACATGCCATCAAGAGCCAGGCCCTTGCAGATTTTGTGGCATAGTTCGTCAAAGCCCCAGAAATAGAGGCGACAATGGAACCAACCGAGCCCCCAACGTGGAAACTATTCGTAGATGGATCCTCAGGAGAGGTCGGATCCAGGGCAGGGATCGTTTTGGAAAGCCCCGAAGGCCACAAGCTAAATTGCGCAGTAAGGTTCGACTTCAAAGCCTCGAACAACGTCGCTTAATATGAGGCCCTTCTAGCAGGTCTTAGATTGGCAAGGAAAATGCAGGTCAGAAGGCTCCTAGCGAGCAGCGATTATCAACTTGTAGTGAGTTAAGTCAATGGAAATTTCTCGGCCAAAGACAGTAACATGGTTGCATACTTGAAATTGGATCTGGACCTAGTTCCCCATTTTGAAAGATTCGAGCTGATTCAAGTCCCACGCCAGAGAATACTCATGCAGACGCCCTGTCAAAACTGACCAGCAGCAAGGATTCAGAGCTACTAAAGATTGTATCCATTGAACACTTATCGAAGCCCTCCATATCCGGAGGTGAAGAGGTGTTATGGATAGAAGGCACCCCATTATACATGCAGCCCATCATCGCCTATCTTAAGGAACAATCACTTCTAGCCTCCAGGAGCGAGGCAAAAAAGTTAAGAAGAAGGGCTGCACACTTCGTCCTACAAAAAAATGTTCTCTACAAAAGAGCCTTCACCTTGCCACTTCTCCTATGTGTAGGAGGCGAAGAGGTTATGTATATACTCAGGGAAGAATTTGTGGGAATCACTCCGAAGGAACCGCTCTGGCACACAAAATGCTCCGGCAATGCTACTTTTGGCCAACCCTGAAAAGGGATGCTTGCCAGTTTGTCCAGAAATGTGACAGGTGCCAGCGCTTCTCTAATATTCAAAGACAGAATTCTCAAAGCCTCTCCGTAGTGACTAGCCCTTGGCCGTTCGCCAAATGGGGTATCGACTTCATTGGTCCACTCCCAAAAGGAAGAGGAAGTGCGATTTTTGCCATTGTCGCCATCGACTATTTCACTAAGTGGGTCGAAGCTAAACCTCTTGCCAATATCACCGAGGCGAGTACTACAAAATTTGTCTGAAAGAACATCATCTACAGGTTTGGCATTCTCCACTCCTTGGTATCTGACAACGGGAGATAGTTCGACAACAAGAAAATGCAAAACTTATGTGACGAACTGGGCATAAAGAAAGATTTCTCGATGCCTCATCACCCACAAGCAAATGGGCAAGTTGAGGCAGTAAACAAAACAATCAAGCATACCCTGAAAATGAAGCTTGACACCTCGAAAGGGGCTTGGGTTGATGAGCTTCCACACGTCCTCTGGGCCATCAGAACAACTAGCCGAACAGCAACCGGGGAGACACCCTTCTCCATGACCTATGGAGCCGAGGCCATGAGCCCGATTGAAGTAGGAGTCCCATCGTACCACCGAGTACACTTCAATGAAATCAGTAACGACGAGACTCGAATGAGCGAACTCCACCTCCTTGAAGAAAGGAGGGATGCCTCCCATGTGAACTTGGCAAAGTATCATAGAAAGATGACCCGCTATTATAACTCCAAGGTCAGAAATCGGACTCTTCATCTAGGAGACCTCGTCCTTAGAAGGTTTCTCACAAATCACGGTCCCCATCCCAAGGCGGACGTACCCGATCAAGGAAACAAGTTCACCCATGATATAAATATTCATACTTGAACTTGGGGGGACCACTGTTACGCCCCTATCTGAAACACTTCGAAAAGTCTACCACCGCGTTATACGAGGTGTCCAACACCCAACCGAAGTGGTTCCAAAGTGACGCCACCACCAATATTGTTAAGTGCGTTATCTACTGAACCAATCGAAGCGTCCCCGCACCTGAAGCCGAGGCACAGTATATTCCAAGATTCTCTATTAGAAGACCCGCCGCCAATTTCAGAAAGATATCTATGTCAAGATTCTTTCTGCCCCTAAGGTTCAATTGATTTGAAGTCTCCATGATCCTAGTTGATGTGATGTATCAATTTTATGTCAACTCAACTCGGAAGAAGTAATTGTCCGCCCACTCTATAGATGCGGCTGATTGACGCCTATGAGCAGACGCCTCATACCGTCAGATGCAAACACGTGTCTCACATCCAACGGTTCTCCTCACCTATAAATACCCAAAGTTTGACAAGAGGCAGGGGTAATGAAACTCTTACAACATAGCTTTCCATAACAAGCAAATATATATTCTCCTCCCCTTTATTTAGCACAATCTTGGTATTGTTCCGACCACCTGAAGCTAACTTGACCGTCGGAGTGTATGCGGTGGCCACCACCTCCGTTGGTTCTGGCCGTGTGCATCTGACCGTGCGTTGACTGTGTGCAGAGAGGGATACTTGGAGTAGCTATTAGTTGGCCACGTTGAGGGTCCAATTTGCGAGGTCAACACTTTGTATTCAAGGTTTATTTAAAAAAAGAAGAAGGTTGAACCCCAACCTTGAGAGCTCTCACCGCCTCGTCCCTAGACCTTTGTGAGGGAGGTAAATCGCAGAATGTGCCCCAACAGGTCAGGGAACAGTAGCTGTCTGTACACTGCGCCTACAATGAGTCCAATTCCATGTCTCAGGAATTGAATCCCCACACTGCAACTGCCAGCAAGGAGTGAGATAACCTCACTCCTGTCCTTTGCACCATTAGACTATGCCCTAGGAGGGCATTCAAGGTTTATTTTATTACTATAAAGGCATGCTTACTTAGATTAATATTATTAAACCATATTTGATACTTTTATGGTTATACTAATTCTAATTCTTATTGTCTAATATTCTGTGATACATGAATATTATTGTGTTCAATTATGTTGTCCAAGTGGGAGTGTTTAACATCTTTGGAATGTGGGGGTATTAAAAATTTCAAATATATGTACCGCATCCATATTTAGTCATAATTACCATGAAATTGGCATTTTGAGCAAAGTGTACAGATTGAAGTTGAAAGATCTCAATGTTTGTATCTGTCCAACCATGATACTATAAGTTAATATAAAAATTTCATAAAGTTATCTTATATGTGATATTGACATTTTATAAAAGTTTTTAGGTGACTTTGCAGATATGCAAATGGGCAAGTAAAGAAGAAAAGCTTTGCAAATTAATGGCAACAATTTATTGTCCAAGAGGGACATGAATATATGTAGTCCGAGATAGACATACACAAATCATCGACAGTGATGGGTTTAAGCCCATAAGGGAATCGCCTTCAGAAGTAACCCAACTTTTGTGATTGGAGATCCCATGAAGAAGATTCAATGTGGTAGAAATAACCAGTACTGCGTGACTTGTATACCATTATCTTATTTGTGCTCATCCATACGGTGATATAGTGCTAATAATAATATGATGTTAAGAAGGGTTTAACCTTGAATGAGTATCGATGTGAGAATTCTCGCGAGGTGTAGGTTACATACACCGTTGGAGGACTCACTTATGTAAGAGTTGTCATGAGACCGTGGCTATGTGATTTGGCTATTCCCTAGTTATTAGAATTAAGATTAGAGCACATGATCATTAACAGCGTTACCCGATAGGAACTGAGCCTAAATCGATACTGTGTATGGAATAATTGAAATTTGGTCAAAGGGACCTAATTTAAGGTTTAGTCCATTATGGATCCCTCAAATAAAAATTGTTATCACTAAGTGAGGTTCAAGTCCGAAAGACATCTATACCTATTGGACAGTATTATGTTGCCACTATTATATATTTTAATTATTTTGAAAGGTTAAAACTTGTGGGGGATTGTTGTAGAATATATAAAAATAAGTTTTAATCTTTCAACATTTTCAGTTTTAACAAAACTAAAAAATCCTTAATTTTATTGTGTAACTTGTGTATAAATTGGATTTAATTTCATTGATGTGGGGAGTTAAAATTTTCCCTATAAAAGGGATTGATTTTATACAACATAAGATAAATCATATCTTGTAAGATAAACACTCTATACAACTCGTACTATATTTCTATATCTTGACAACCAATGAGATGCTCGTTTACTTATCTTCCTATGGTCGTGTCCATAGAAAAAGAGTCACACGAGTTTTATCTTGGAGTCGTGTAGTGCCGAAAGAACTCACACGAAGGGGAGGCAACATGACTTTAGGACAGCGTTTTCGACGTAAGTTCCAATGCTTGCTTTTCTAATATTCTTCTTATTTTTATATTATTTTTGAATTATGTCTATATTATTTAATCAATTATGCTAATTAATAATAAATCTACATACAAATCACCCAATTTTTCCAACATAATTCGCGCTCAAGCATTTTCAATATGCACACATGAAAATGCGCCCATCAAATTTTCAGGGGCCTAGAACTGTTATTCAGTGACATCAGATGCAGACTTAATAGTCGTGCAACAAATTTGGTGCTCGGTCAACCCCAACAAAAAAAAAAAACGAAGGTTTTAACTACAACGGTTACCTTTTCAAGTGGAAGCATAGGTAGAAGATATTGGCTAAACAATTTGAATTGGAATATGTAGAATTCGATGAAACTGATTTGCATGTGAGCTTAACAGAAAGGATGAAAGATAAAGGGCCTGTTTCGGAGGAAATTGTGAAGAAAAACAATTTTGAGCTACTAAATTGGAGGATGTTGCTACATTCTCGTGGTTGATGTGGTTTTTTGTTTCGAGTGTATGTTCAAATATGGATTTTTGTAGGGTCAATTGACCTCATGTGGGTCCGTTAGTGAAGTCAAAATCAAAATTAATTTTAGCTACATATTTTATGAAATTTAAACATTTTTAATCATATATTTCATCAATTTTTATCAAAATTTATAAAAAAATTAATTTTATTCCCCACCAAATAGGGGTTAAAAAGGCTAATGTGTTTGCCATGAATAATAAGACCTCTATCGAGTTATGTAGACTTATTTAGCATGATTAAGGCTCATTTTGGTAGGACTTTTATTTCATATAGAAGAGTTTTTTGAAGAAATTATTTTAGATCAATTTCTCTAATTACAGAATGTTAAGAAAAAGTATTAATTTAT